AATGTCCCCAATTATTAATATTTTTACCCACTCATCTTGGCTTTATGTACATCGTGTCTCCCATCTTTGTCCCCATACTACTCTTAATGACCATTGTTGAACCTGAATTTGTCACCCCACCCTCCACTCTCCCCACTGGTATAAATATCTACAGATGCATCTGATAAAGTAGACTAAATCTATGAAAGCTTATGTCTCAAACATCTTTCTCTAACCGATCCCTTTATAAGGTTACAAAGACAGGGCAATATGGTACCATCAACAGTGGAGGTCATCTTCCAGTTGTTTGGGTTTGCAATTCCCACTATCCTTTACCATAGATCTTACTGAGTGGAGATACTGGAAGTGGTTGTCCAAGTCATGTGGAGGGCCAAAATTTCTCCAGCTCTTTTCTGGGGATGCTAAAGTAGCTGCTCTGGCCCTCTCAGTCAAGAAACATACAATGTTGACAAAAGTCAACATTGACACTGAAATACAACCCCGCCTGAGCTTTGCAAGTGCAGCATTTTTCCAAATGAAGCAGAGAGTGTTTGAGGATCGGGACATTTGTAGGGAGACCAAGCTGCTTGTTTATAAAGCTATTGTCCTCCCAAACCTGTTATATGCCTGCGAAACATGGACTGTCTACAAACATCACACTCAACCCCTGGAATGATTCCACCAACTTTGCCTCTGAAAAATCCTGCAAATCTCTTGGGAAGAAAGGCAGCCAAATGTCAGCATGCTGGAAGAAGCATAGACCACCAGCACTGAAGTGATGTTCCTCTGCCATCAACTTCGCTGGACTGGCCACGTTATCCGAATGCCCAATCACCGTCTCCCAAAGCAGTTACTATACTCCCAACTGAAGAACAGAAAATGGAAGGTTGGTGGACAGAAAAAGAGATTTAAAGATGGGCTTAAAGCTAACCTTAAAAACTGGCAAGCACATTGAGAACTGGGAAGCCCTAGTCCTTGAGTGCTCTAACTGGAGGTCAGCTGTGACCAGAGGTGCTGTGGAATTTGAAGGGGCATGAATGGAGGGTGAAAGGGAGAAAAGTGCCAAGAGGAAGACATGTCAAGCCAACCTTGAATGGGATCGCCTTCCACCTGGAAACTGATGCCGTCTGATGCTGTGGAAGAATGTGCGAGTCAAAAATAGGATTCCACAGTCACCTACATATCCACCGCTGAGACACTGCACTTGGAAGGCCTTCATTCTCAGACAGCGAGGGATCGCCTAAGTAAGGAAGGAAGGCCAAAGTTTCCCCAGCTCCAACCTCCAGAGTCAGACACGACTGGACTTAATGTCAGGGGAAAACCTTTACTTTTACCTTATGGGTTGAAAAAGAATCAGTTAATCAAAAACTAGTCTCAAAGCATAAAACAATGTAGGCTGCCAGGTCCTATAGACTCAGAGCAGCAATCTACCTTTGCATTTAGCTTTAAATGCAAAAGCATTAAAAAAACACCACTTGTTCCCAGATGTGTAACCTTATGTTAAGCTATTCAGCTACATTTGAAGCGGGCGTTTCATGCTGTGGTGCAGACATCATGTGCATTCTGTAATGGCCCTCCTTCTTGTTAACTACTGTCAAGAAAACTTTGTCTTACAGCAACTCTATGAATGAGAGACCTCCAAGTCACCTTTATCATCAATAGCCCTGCAGACTCAGAGCCATGGTTTTCTTGACTGGGTCTATAATGGATCTGTAATGCAGTCTTTATCTTCCTACTGTATTCTATCTAAGAATTATTGTATTTTCTGGCAAGTCATATTTTTCAAAGTATCAAAGTCTCAGTTTAGTCATTGTGGCTTCTAGGGAAGGTTCAGGCTTGCTTTGCTCTACTACCGATTTATTTGTCATTTTATCAGTCCACGATATCCATGGAACTCTCCTCCAGCACCACATTTCAAATGGGTTGATTCTCTTCCTATCAACGCTCTTCACTGTACAAGTTTCACAACCGTACATAGAAATTGGAAAGTTGATGGTACAGGCAACCCTACCCAATATATCTTGACACTTCAGGGGCCTTACAATATTTACTCACAGTCACAGATATGAAGAAGAGGAAATATCCCTCTAAAAAGGTTGTAAGGATCGGAACTGAACCTATCATTAGATGTAGGCAGCAGATTTTAGATGTCACGAAAGGGCAGCAAATGATTAAAGTCCATGTTGAAGAGAGGTGCTTGTGGAAATTTCTGTCCCCTGTGTCAAAATAACTTGATGATCCTATTTTATACCGTAAATTATTTCTCTCTGTGTGTGAGATGAAACTCCATTTGCTGCTTCACCTTTAAAATATCATTGGTAAGCATAGTTCAGATACCTTTATTTCCTCATCCTCTGATTGTATTTCTCTTGTAGGCATTTAACATTTTCAATACGGCTGTGGGAAAATACCCCCCTCTCCTCTATTTTTTAATCTCATTCCCATTGTGATTTTACACCTTGTAAATGGAATGGGAAAATGCCACAGGTGTTTGTTTATTGATGTTATTAGTGATATCACCTCCTTTCCCAACCATATCCATAACATTTAATGAACCTGATGTATAATGGGCAATATCTAGCCAACATTAAGTACTTTTCAAATCTCATTATCAGTGAGAATTGGTTAAAAGATGTGGCGAAGTCTTCCTTGTATTAAGTGGGAGTTGATCATGTTCAGAGTTGCATGCTGAATTGTACCACTTGTAAGGACGCGCATTCTGGCTTTAAGAAATGGTGAGAAGTGTTGTTGTTGTTTTTTAATCACTCAGTAAGAATTCACTCATTCTGGGTTTTGCACCAACTTATACAATTTCACAAAACTACAAGAGATATTGCCTTGTTGCATGAGCTTTTTAAAAAGCACTAAATAATTTATTTGTCTCTTTTAGATGCATCAGCCAGTGCGTCTGTGGTTGCTATGTCTATGTTTGTTTAGCTTTACAAAGGAAAAGGACTGTAATGTTGTACAGAGGCATTTCAAAATGTGGATTACCTGACAAAAAAACATGCAGTTTCTTTCATTCTTGCGATAAATTTGAGGAATCTTGCAGGGGATAACAAATCTTGATGGTCTGTACCGTGTTGCAATGTCCTGCCTCAACAAAAGGTGACAGTTAACAAGGTATCTTCACATCACTAGCCCTGTAGTCTCTCCCTCCTGTTCCCATGTTCTCCTTCATGGCTGTAAGGTCACCACTTGTTCAGGTGGAGTGTGTAGGTTAAGGATGTGACTTAGGCCCCTACCATGCAGCTGTATAAAATCCATGTTGAACTGGATTATATTATTATTTATTTACATCTGGGACTCAAAGCGATATGGACTCAGATTATCTGTCTTGATATTCTGGGCGATATGGTTGTGTGTAAGGGTCCCATACACCAGCAAGTCTACAGTTCAAATTTATCCACATTTACAAACCCATGAAGTTGCCTTGGTCAAAGCTGTTATCCCTCCATTTTAGCAAATCATCTATAATATGAGAATAATCTAATTGACTCAGCACTAATTCTTGCATCAGAAGTGGTTTGAACTCTCTGAAGTCCAATATAAATAATGTTTACAACCAGTTTTATCCAGACTTAGGGTTGACACTAGTGCTGGCAGTCTTCATGACACACATCAACATCCCGGAAGGATCTAAGGATCTAAGGATTAGTGTTTTCTGCACTAACAAAGTCAGGTGATACTCCAGAATTTATAGGAAATGCTGGAGTATCCACATGATTTATACCTATCTGAATAGATAGATTGTGTATGTTTCAATCCAACCCAATCTATTGTCCACAAGCATACCACCACCATCACTCTTTCCATGTGCTGATCAATATAGGGAAATGAATGAGTTATCTGCATGTCAACACTTTCACTCCTCACTGGCTACAGAGCTCTCTGCAAGAACCTGGCCATCTTGGGGTCACATCTACTGAGGTCAGAATGGAGCAACTGCACAATCAACAAGAAGGAGTGGGTTCACTCAAATCCCTCTTTGCTCATTATGCAGGATCCCTATTATGATCTGAGCAAATATGACAAGCGATGGCCAGGGGCTCACAGGGAGCTCCATGACGAGTGAGGAGCATGAAGAGAAGATGCTGGACCAACAAGGTGATGGGCTGGATGTGTGGCACAAATGTCCCAAATGAACTTGCCCTATGTAGACACATCCTAAATCATATTTAGAGCAGAGCTATTGAAATACATTTGTTCTAAAGCTAGTTATCTCCCATTGGTTTTAATGGACGTTATGTAGCTATAACTAAATTTAAATCCTTCTTTGCACTCTTAAAGCACAACAGACAAACTGGCCCTCTAGATGTTGCTGAGCTACAACGCTCACAATTCCTCACCATTAACAATGTCGTTTAGAATTTCATAATATCGGAAGGCTTTCAGGTTTTTCATCCACGTCTTAACAATATTTTAGATGCCTTCTGGTTATTAGGCAGTGGCTAAACGTGTCCTGCTACAGAGAGGCAATTTCAGTCTCATGATAGATATGACCCTGCTGTACATCCCGATTTCAGGATGAAAGCTAATGTTTGATGCAGACCTTGCTTTGAAGAGTCAAGCTTTAGGTAGTAGAATAAATTATACAAAATGTCCATATATATTCCTAATTTGCATAATATTTTATTGTTAACCCTTTCCATCCTGGAATGAAGTAGCTTAATTTATTCATTGGTATGCAGAAGGACTGTGCCTTCCCCTAAAAGACCCTTGGTACTATTTGTGTTTTATTTCTTTTCTTTTTTTACATTTTTCTTGCAGTGAAGTCTCACATCTATGTCTACCTCTTTGGAAACCTGCTTGTGTAACACCCACCAGTCACCCCTATTTGTTTTATTGAATCCCTTGCTTTTGTTTAAAAAAAAACCATTGGGAGGGGACTTTAAACAAACCAACTAAAACCGATTACTTATTACGCAGTTTAAAGTCAACTGTTTTCTCAAAACAGAGTCTTAATGGTATTTTTTGTTCTGTTTTTTTTTGTTCTGTTTTTTTTTCTTTTTGTTTGTTAGCAACCCAACTACTGGAGCTTTAAGGTCAGTACTTCCAATTTTTCCCCCCACGCTTTTCTGTCAAACAAGTGCATGCGCTTTTCCACCCCTTCTCTGTATTTTTCTGTGCGTGCAGACAAGTTTGGGAGGGGATTTGAGAGGCCTGCTTCTTTTGCTCCTTTTTCTTGCATCAGGTTTCTTCTTTCTAATAACTAGTCCTTGCATCAAACTTCTCAGCCACGTGTAGTCAGGCTTACCACAAGTTAGAGAGCAGGGTAGCTGCCTCATGTAGCGCACGTAAGAGGTATTTTTAAGCCAGAAAATTGTTACTTGAATAATCTAGTGCCAAGTAGTCACCCCAGCACTGCCAGGAGGATCACGTGTGATGACAACAGAGAAAATGATCACAACTGCTGAATGTTGGCATGATATGAAGCCATATCCAAGTATTGGCCAATCCACCTGTAATCGGATATGTCATCTTCCATGACCTGCATGCTGGGGAGGGAATCTAGAGGGATGATCATTTGGAATCTCATGAACACATTGCCACCATGTGGTTCCCTGCCACCTGGAAGTGTGGCCGGTCATTGACCTCGAATCAGATCTAATCCCACTTGCCTTTACCCCTAATGTCCATTAAAAGGACCCCTAAAAGGGAATCAAGGGAGTTGTAGGCTGTGTCCCCCCCCCCCCGCCCAAGTTGGATTCTACCCCTTGACACACTACTCCACCAAGTTGTGATAATTAATATAGATCAGGATGGATAAGTGGGAAGTAGGGTTGGCAACATTAAAATCAGGGGTGCCTCCTGTCCCTTTAATGTAGTGGTTCTCAACCTGTGGTCCTCAGATGTTTTGGCGTTCAACTCCCAGAAATTCTATCAGCTGGTAAACTGGCTGGGATTTCTGGGAGTTGTAGGCCAAAACACCTTGGAGCCCACAGGTTGAGAACCACTGCTTTAATGGTTATGTAGAACAGATAATTTCAGCAGGTGTTAATTGTAGCCCAACCTGGTGGCTAGCAACACCTGCTGAAGGCCCTTTTCCACATAGTCATTAAAAAGACAAGGCATCTCAAGTGTTCACTTTTGGCAAACCCAGGAGAAAAGCCGCTCAAACTCAAATTATAGAGAGCCAACAAATAGGCTTGACTGAAGTCAGTCAGTCAGTCCACGTGAAGAGCTATCCCTTCCCCTGACACAGGATTCTCAAAAGCCCAGAAATGGTATGTGGGCTTTTGGGAAGGAATATGGTTATCACCTAGAGAAGGGTTACAGCCTACAATGCTACAAGTCAGGTATCTTTCTTATATAATGTATTATTACTGTATTTCACTGCTAGGCAGTGGCATCTACAGGGATTTTATGCCTTATGCGGCGAGGTAAGGCAACTATGTGTACTGAGACTTATATGGGATATTGTTTGCTACTCAGTAAATGATGTAGAACAATCTCAAAATGCTTTGAGCTAACCCTGAAAATATAGGAGTACTTCAGAAAGATACTCCATTGTTTGGAAACTTGGTATAGTTTTGTGAGCCAAGAGAAACACACAGGGGTACAGTTCCATTGTTTATTTATTTATTTAAAAGTTTTCTATACCGATCTTCTCACCTCCAAGAGGGACTCAGATCCGGTTCACAACATGTGTTCATATACAAAAATACAAACCACACAATGTATTATCATTACACAATTAAAACATATTACAATACAACATCGTCATCATCACACTTACACAGCCACGTCGTCAAAACATTCCTGGTCATAATTCACAGTTAATCATTCTCCTTCCATGTGGACCAAAGTTGACTCAGTTATCAAAGGCCGCATTCCATAGCCAAGTCTTTGTTAGCTTCCTGAACGTCAGGAGGGAGGGAGCAGTTCTAATCTCCTGTGGGAGGGAGTTCCAAAGCCGGGGAGCCACCATCGAGAAGGCCCTGTCTCTCATCCCCACCAACTGCAATTGTGACAGTGGTGGGATCGAGAGCAGCCCTCCCCCCGGAAGATCTTAAAGACCTTGATGGTTCATAGAGGAGAATCTGTTCGGACAGGTAAACAGGGCCAGAGTCGTTTAGGGCTTTGTAGGTCAAAACCAGCACTTTGAATTGTGCTCGGAAGCTATTTGGCAGCCAGTGGAGCTGGCATAACAGAGGGGTTGTATGCTCCCTGTACCCAGCACCCGTTAGAAATCTGGCTGCTGAGCGTTGGACTAGCTGCAGCTTCCGGGCAGTCTTCAGAGGCAGAGGCCACTAGGGAGTGCTAGAGAGAGAAGGAGAGTCTATTTTATGGAGGGAATTGAAGGAGGAAAACTATTTGCCCCGTTTTCATTGGTTATTCTTCCTCCCCACTTCCTACATCATAAAAGAGGGTCAACCCACCCTCTAGCCCAGGGGTCCACAAACTTTTTAAACAAAGGGCCAGGTCATAGTCCCTCAAATTGTTAGAGGGCCAGATTATAATTTGAAAAAAAAATGAATGAATTCCTATGCACACTGCACAGGAATTATTATTTGTAGTGCAAAAACACTTAAAAACAATACAATAATTAAAATGAAGATCAAATTTAACAAATATAAACTTATTAGTATTTCAATGGGCAGTGTGGGCCTGCTTTTGACTGATGAGATAGGATTGTTGTTGATATTATTGTTGTCTGCTTTCAAATCGTTTCAGACTTAGGTTGACCCTTAGCGAGGGCCAGGTATATGACCTGAGAGGGCCGTATCTGGCCCCCGGGCCATAGTTTGAGGACCCCTGCTCTAGCCCCATAAAATGAACTATCCTTCTCTCTCTAGCACCCCCTAGTGGCCTCCACTTAGATAATAGAACATTACCCACACAAAATTGTGAAGGAAACGGAGTTTGCTTGCATACCTCCAGTGCAGTGTGTGGCTTAGTAGAGTTGTGTTACAAACAGGCAACACACATCCATGGGAATGCATAACTGCAACAAAGCCTTGCGTGCTAGCACTAATTCCACCCAGTTGCCTCTCTCATGTTAGTATCTCTGGATCATTCACTCATTCTTTGCTTCACATTACCCAAGTAAGACATGAATACTGTAACTCTAGGCCCGTGATAGAGCATTTTTTCAAGACAACAGTTTAGAAGATTATTCAGACAAAGGCATGACATCAAATCACATTTCAAGCCAGTTTTCCTGCTGTGCCATCAGTGTACCCCATGCACTGCAGAGTTCCATAAGCAGCAGGCCCCAGACTCTAAGAAATTGCAATCTAGATGCTGACAGTGAGAGCTGAGAGGCTAGTTAACACAGGAATACATGGTGGAGAAGCCGTTTATAGCAACAACTGGGCATCATTTTAGTTGCAGGTGAGAATTAAGGCTGGAGGCCTTACAGTACTATACATTTCATCATGTAACATTTGCTCTTTCTTGGAGTTTGCAAGATTTTGGTATCATACCACTGTGCAAGCATTAGCGATGTCAAAGGAGCTGGATTAATTCTTGTGCAAAGGGAGATTATTTGGCCAAACCATCTGATGTGAAATAAGTTACACAATGGTTTGTTGATGTTGCATGCCCTCAAGTTATTTCCAAATTATTTCAACCCTGTCATAGGGTATGCTTGGCAAGATTCAGAAGACGATTGCTTTTAACTTCCTCTGAGGCTAAGAGAGAGACTGACTTGTTCATGTTCGCCCAATGGGTAGCTATGGCTGAGTGGATCATAGTCCAACATGCCAACCGATACATCATACTGACCCTCCCAGTAAATTCAGCATACCTTCAGCAGTGGTGTTTTACTTATATACACTGTGCCTACATGTGCAGTGTAAAGTTAAACAGTATAAATACGCTATGTATCCCACATCCTTAATTTACGCTTAAATTTAACTCGTTTTGACGTAGTGATGCAGATAGTCATGTCAGCTCAGCAATTTCTGTCTTTCACAGAGTTAATTAGTCACGATCAATACATCTCCCACAATCCATTTTCAGGAACAATTTGTGTGTTGAGATAAAGTCAAATGGCAGGCAGCTTTCACCTCAAACCACAGGTGTGATTTCAGAGCTGTGGAAGAGAGTTTGGAGATTAGGTCCAGTTAAAAGTAGGGCTAGGCAACAACGGGTATCAAACCCCAGACAATTCGATCAAGATGCAAAATGCAAACTAACAGCAAAAGCCATTCCCTCGACTGGCTATGTTGCATTGAGCCATCACTTCACATTGCTTCATGGTTTTTGGGTTGTTGTAGGTTTTTTTCGGGCTATATGGCCATGTTCTAGAGGCATTCCCTCCTGACGTTTCACCTGCATCTATGGCAAGCATCCTCAGATGTAGTGAGGATGCTTGCCATAGATGCAGGCGAAACTTCAGGAGAGAATGCCTCTAGACTATGGCCATATAGCCCAAAAAAACCTATAACAACCCAGTGATTCCGGCCATGAAAGCTTTCGACAATACATTCATGGTTTTTGCTTTGTTTTATTTTGTTTTGTCATGTCAAGAGCGACTTGAGAAACTGCAAGTCACTTCTGGTATGAGAGAATTGACCGTCTGCAAGGACGTTGCTCAGGGGATGCCCAGATATTTTTTGATGTTTTGCCATCCTTGTGGGAGGCTTCTCCCATGTCCGCGCATGAGGAGCTGGAGCTGATAGAGGGAGCTCATCTACACTGTCCCTGGATTTGAACCTGTGACCTGTCCGTCTTCAGTCCTGCCGACATAGGGGTTTAACCCACTGTGCCTCTGAGGGTGAAAGCAGCCTTATGTCAAGAGCTCGAATTCTGGATTGCTTAACAAGAAAAATGGGCAGAAATGGGCTCATTTCCTTCCTTTGATAATATGCTAGACTGGATGTCAGGGCTTAGAAGTGAAGTAAAGAGAGGAAGTCATTTAGATCAGGAGTATAATTATGTTATTCTGCTTAAGGGTGGTAAATTATTCTGGGCCCAGGGAACCATATATCAGTGAACCTTCTGTGATGGAGACTAGTGCAATCCAGCACAGAAAGGCACTACTTACTCCTAACCTGGGGCTTAAAGTCAGCTGCAGTGACTCTCTGATTCACCAAAT